GTCCAGACATTCATTTTTTTTAACCTTTTCGCACCAGACAATATTTCTGGAAATGAATCATAATTTTGGAGCTAAAAGACAAAATTTGAGTCAATTTTCAGTTTTTACTCGAAAAATTTCGCTATTTTTGTGCCAATCTATAGACAAGACTATTTTGTGATGAAAAGAGAACTGGTGGAAGAAAGGTTTTTAACGAACTCAACTAAATACTTAAATCAAATAAAAATATGAACAAAAATTTTCATGAAAATTCTAAAGCATAGAAAGCAGAAAATAAATAATAGCTGGGTACATAAATACTTGTTCAAGAGTTTACAGTTTGGTTGATAACTTGGGAACCCCATTTTTGGGGCTGACTTTATAATCTGCTTGTATTTCAGGAATTAAGGGTGAATTTATAAATACAGGTAATTTAGTACCTGAAATAATTTAACACAGTTTCTTTATTTATGTTCTGCTGGAAGTAAAATAAGTTTACGTGATGGTTACGACATATAAAACATCAGCGCAAGCTTTACGCGCTGTAACCTTCAAGAGATCATACCAACTAATTATTATCCGGGTCATCACCTATTGGAGAGTTTCGGCCAATTTTAGCTACACGTAATTGTGGTAAAATGACATAATGGTGAAATGTTGATTTAGCAAACCTCTCATTGTTGATTTCCTGTTTTCACAATACTTGTCTGTCGCGTGCCAAAACAAATGTGGAGTTATCACCTCCATAAAAACAAAGAAAAACTATATCAGTATCACTTCATTTATGTTTTTTATTCATTGAAATAATGACCACAATGAATAAGTTTATTTTTTTGTGTTAATTCACTTTTCAATAAAATGTATCTATCATGTCAGTACGCTTTCTTTGTGTTGTTTAAAAAGTGTGTGTGGCCATTTTGAATTTAGAATAAAGTCATCAGCAACATCTTGAATTAGCGAATCAGTTCTCTTGCTAAAAAGACATGCTCGCGAAAAAGACGTGTTTTACAGTAGTTGTGAGCACATGCAGCTCAATTTGTAACATTTTCAATATTTTAATAATGTATATCATGTAAAGTTATGGTTTATAATCACAGAAATTCTCAAACACCCAATGGCCAATTAAAAACAAAGTGTTTCTAAAAAGTTGTTTCTATTACGAGAACGTTTGTTCATACATCTGTAGAGGGGTGTTGCAATCTTGAAACACTATCAGTTGATGAAAAAACTGGGGTTGGATTTCAAATTATGTTAAAGTCATTTCTCTTTCTTAATACATTTTTTTTCTTAACTTCCAAGTTAGGATCAAACACGGTTTTTGAAAAAAAATTTTCAGATGTCAACACATTTTGATGAATAAAACTGAATTATGGTTTTCTTTCTTCAAGCAATTACAATCAAATGCACTTATAAGGGAGAAATAAATTTACATAAACTTAATTAAAGGTTAACAGTTTTTTTTATTTACATCAACAAATTGTGTGCAGTCATTAACTGTACAATAACAAGTATTTTTTTTTCGGTCCAAAAAAGATTTGTTTCTGGTCATTCAGAATGTCAGACAATTTAAAAATAAAGAATTCAAAAAAAAAATTCACCAAACAAACACATGACCAGCAACGAGTCTTTTTTTGGATGGTGTGTCTTCAAGGATGAATGTAACTTCTACAAAATGTTTTGCCAAAACATACTTGGCAGCAACAATTCAAACCAGAACATTTCTTTCAAATCCAGGTTACTCCACAACAAGTGTCGCAACATAGTATGTTCGACATTGATCCCAAAGGATACTGTGGAATACTTTATTTTAGCTGGAAATAATTTTCGCTGGAAAGGCTTTTTGGGCGTTTGCTTGGAATTTATTTTCACTGATTTTGGATGAGTTTAATGTGAAAATATAGGAAAAAAAGTATATTCGCTGGATTTTATTTTCACGGAATCATCCCTTCAGCGAAAATAGCGAAAATAAATTCCAAGCGAAAATAAAGTATTCTACAGTATACAGATTGTAAAAAACATTGCTTATTTACATAAAATTCAAACATGCTGCATAGCGACGAACTCTTTAACCTTTTCACCACCAGTTTTCTATTTTCATCACAAATTCGCAAAATAGTTCTATGGTCTGCACTTTCCATCAGAGGATTGAGACAAAAATAGCCACATTTTTATTGAGTGAAAACTGAAAATTGACTCAAATTTTGTCTGTTGGCTTCAAAATTAGGTTTCATTTCCAGAAATATTGAGGAATATAAGAAAAAAGTACTGACAAATTCTGGCAACAAAGTCTGGTGGTGAAAAGTTAGTTACAGTTTCAACGTCTTGATCGGAATGTAGACAAAAATAGTAATAAATATGCAGATTTGGAACAATCTGTTAAAAATGAAATAAACATACAACAGTAACAAGGCAATCACTTCAATCAATATTGGTGACAGCGGTTTTTCTTCATCAACATGTAAACCATTACAGCGGCTGTAACACTTTGTACACCTTATTTTTTCTGATCCAAATTTTAGTGAAATAGTTTGTCTATTTTTACATACTTTTCTATAATTTCTCTAATTTTGCACCAAACTGACTTAATTCTGCAGTTTACTTTGGTGTTCAAAGGGTTGTCATGGTTACAACAAAATTTCATTCTTCATCAATGTCCTGAGTTTCTTGGCAGTACAATTAAATTATTATTTTCCAGATTTAAAGTTGCATTCAAACTTTTTTTTATTTCTAGAAAAATCTCACTGACCCCTGTAATTATCCATAAGTGCATCAGATTTTGTACATTTCATGAGAAATCTCATTCAACAGTATCCTGTATTCAAATTTATAGGGTACTGCTAAATGGACTTAATTAACATTTCTCGATGCAAAAATGAAGAGAATTTCAAAATTTATGCTGTACGTGATTATTATAAATGGACTCCCTCTTTCACTAAAAATAGGAGTTCTTTTCTAAAATTGAGGGGCTGTGAAGCAGAATATGGGGTTAACGCACTCCATGATTAAAACAATGGAGACTGTTTTGATTAGTGATTAAACACCAAGAGCTCCAGTGCCGGCTAGCTTCAGTGATCTGGTATCCCAGAATTTGTTGCCATACCAACTGATCATATCTTCTCATGGTGATCACAATGAATTGGGTATTTACTGCACAAAGTAGGAATGCAACTCTAATAACAGTCTATTAGTTTATATCAATGTATTATTAGAATATTAGTTTTACTTGAAATCAATATCTTTTCTTAATGCATTACTGACATATACGCTGAGAGTAATTGTGTCCTTAAAAAAAAAATTCCTGACAGCTTAAAAAAAGATGAATGTAGCATACAAACACACATGTAGAGGGCGCTCTATTGGTATATTGTAGAGAGCGCTCTAATGTAGAGGTACTTGGCATATAGAGGGTACTGTGCATGACATATTGCAGAGAATAATGTAAAATACTTTATTTTCAGTGAAAAGACTAATTTTCCTCTATTTACATTTACCTCACAAAAATCAACAAAAATCAAACTACATACAGCCAAGATGCCTTTTCAGTGAAAATTAATTCCAGCTAAAAATAAAGTATTCTACAGTACCGGTAGTCGACTTGGCACGTTTAAGTTGTAGAGGACGCTCTACTTGGAATATAACTAATATTTCAACAAAGAATGAATGTAAGTTTACCAAAATTATTATATAAAGATTAATTAGAAAACCCCACAGAACATCAATTTGAGAAATTACAATTGATCAAAGGAGATAAGTGCATCGGCAAAAAAATATAGCACCCTCTGATGATGAAAATTAAGAATTCTTTTGTTTTTTTACGTAAAAATAAATAGACGGAATGATCAGTGATATTTTTTAAAATATCCACTCTAAATAAAAAGACACATACTGTAAACTTCAGAGCAATGTTGCTTTTTGCAGGCAAGAGACAACAAATAAGAGTAGAAATGACAAAAACTATGACCGAGATAGGGGTCGCCTGCAATTTTACTCGAGTACCGTATTTGTTCTATTAGTAGTGCATGCACTGTGTAAATGACAGATGCGTGTGTTATTGTAATTTGATTCAGTACACAACAAATGCTACTTCAATAAGAAATGTGTTTTCCTATACAGTAAACACTGTACATCTAACAACAATGTCTGAATCCACAAATAATAATAATGCAGAGGAAACAACGTAAAAATAAATAAATATGAAAGAAAATAATGATGACAACAATTCATTCAAGGTTGATAACTTGATTAGATGACGTCAGCCATCATAACCACACGGTAAAATATAACTTTTGCCAGGGACAATAAAATGTGTTTTTTTTAAAAAAAAAGTACTTTGTAATATAATAATGATTCTAGATGTCTATAATATACACGTGTATGATATTGCTATCTTAGAATTAATTGGAATATAAGAATGTATATATAAGGTTTATCTACAAAATATCTGTAACACGTAACATCTATACTTTCTGCCGAGGCAAGTGAAATACAAATTTCGATAGAGGTCACCGGGTATGATAATCCATGCAAAGGGGTGATATACGGTTCATGCAAGATGCTCAAAGGTTATACTCGATATGTAATTCGTGTCCTTGGTTATCTAACCCAGCCTGCAGGAACCCACTGTGGTTCGTGTTCTACTCTGTACGCTATGACCCGTAGTTCGCTGTACGCTACTTGTAAGTCGTCATTGATTAACGTGTAATCAAAGTAGTGACTGTATAATGCTTCAATTCGCTGTGATGTGGCGATCATCTCGTGCAGTTCTTCGTCCTGAATAAAAAAGTGGAATACATTACAGTTCAGTTTCGCAAATTACACATGTCATGATTTTTGAACCAAGGAGTCATCACCTGAGCATGTGCAGGAATTGAGCCCTAAGTGAAATTAACAACACACACTAAAAACACAAATGCTCACGGGCAGGCACTTATTTGTAAACAATGACACTCATGTTGCATGCTTAGGTGATGCACCAACTCCTTCGCTTTAAATGTTGAAAATTAACACCAGACATTATGAATAATGAATATGGCATCAACTATTTTTGACATAACAGTATCCTTCTACATTGATCATTTTACTGACTCTGCCTCACACATGTTGTCATACAAACCCTTAATTATACGCCCTTGATTGTAGTTAAGCTATATACTTACACTGAATGTCCTCGTAAGCGTTGGATCTAACGTAGACTTGGCTTGAGCTGACAATCTTGTCATACGTAGTCTATCAATTGACGGTGGTTTGACGAACACAATGTAAGGCTTCAAATCAGATATTCGTAAAAGTTTGATTGCCTGTAATCAAATCAACGACAATATAAAATTATTACAAAATCATTCTATGTATACTAAAGCAAATTTAAACCATTGCATGCCACAATTTTTCTCCAACAAAATTTGTATACAACATTTTTTGCTTATTTTTATGTTTTTTCTATGATTTATTGGACAACTTTTAGATAAACTGAACATAATTTCCTATTGGCAAAAATTTGTAAGAAAAAAAAATGTGGGGTTTATTTTATGAATGGATGCAAAAGTTGGCTTTGGCACTCAATGGAATAAAAGTATTTCTCAGGGTGTACTATAACATCAATATGGCTGACCAACAGAAATGTCAAACTAAAAAGTCAAACATCAACAACGAAAAGTAATGCAGGCTTTGGGTATTGTGGTCGGCAGTACTGTACCAGTGTTTTTATCAATCTGCTAAACTCATCGCATACTGGCGCCATTTTCCCCCTATCCACCTCGACTTTAAGTAGACACTGTGTTAGAACCAGTATATTCTTGTGAAAACACAGAAATTAAAATAAAATAAAATTAAAGCTACATACCTGAGGATGCACATTCAAAATACAGACTTTAGATGAATTGACAACATCGTATATAGCGTCTAGACTAGTTCCATATAGATTGCCTTTATATTCACCATGCTCAATAAATCTATTGTTTTGTATATCCGATTCCATTTGTAGACGAGATAAAAAATGGTATTCCTTGCCTTCAACTTCTGTTGGTTTCTTAGGTCGTGATGTATCTGCAAATGCAAAATAAGGTATATGTATTATCATATAAGGAATATAGATTACTATATAAGGAATATGTATTACCATATAAGGAATATAGATTACTATATAAAGAATATGTATTACCATATAAAGAATATAGATTACTATATAAGCAATATGTATTATCATATAAGGAATATAGATTACTATATAAGGAATATGTATTACCATACAAGGAATATAGATTACTATATAAGGAATATGTATTACCATATAAGAAATAGGGGTTACCAAATAAGGAATAAGGGTCACCGTATATATATTCTGTATTGTATTATCCATTTATTTTGGTTGTAGTTTTTCTTAAGTTTGTAAAATTGTTTTTTTAAATTTTTTTTTTTTGATTTTCCACTTCACAGACTAGTTATTTAAAATAAAATTTGAATGAATGAGAAAATGAATAAACGCTAATAATCATTTATTGATTGATGGAAAATGACTGTGAAACATGTAAAATCAGACATGTATGTCATTAATTTCAAAGTATTAATTTTAATACTTACGAGGTATTGTGGCTTTAAAATGACTTGGATCACTCGCTATAATTCTTCTTTTTAGTTCATTTCTTCCAACACCGGGAGCAGCTAAAATTAATAAATAGTTATTTATACTGTGAAAACTGTGTAAAATGACAATCCAAGCTCCTTCTTCTTGATAAACAGGAAGTCTTTATGCGAAATTTGATTATGTAATTCATGTATAAAAGTATGTTTGAAGGGCAATTTGTCAACAGATAGTTGAAAATAGAGAATACATTGTAAATGAAATAATTTATGTTTGTCTTGATTAAAGTGAGACATGACCATCTTGCATTATTTTGTGTTTTATACACAGGTGCATTTGACCAAACCATCAGCACAATGGCTCTCGGCGGTTTTATTGATCGGGTGGCTTTTATATACAGGTCACTTTTTATGAAAATTTCATTGGGCGTTAACCAAAGGCGATTGTGACAAAAATTACGGACTATGTTTGTCATAGGCGGAAGGATACATGGAAATATTCATGGGCATATGAAACAATGCAAAATTAGGATATAAACATCTGTGCTCGATATGAAAGCAAAACCGTGCATCTCAGACAGAGGGAACCATAAAACAGACACAGTTAACACCAGTATGGGTGGTGTCTTAGTAGCCATAATTAATATCACTCTACGAATATGAGCCAATGGAAGATGAATGAAAACACACTAAGGATGATGTACGTGTACTTACCTATCATTACAATGGGCCTATATCTGCCAGGTGTAACCTGAAACCTTGCTACTTCATCAAAAACTATAATCTCTTCGTTATCATATTCTAAAATCAATCAAATCATTCAACATTAGATGCATGATATACAAATCATTGTCAATGACACACCAGACACATATTTATTCAAAAATACCCGAATAGTTTTCAAATTTGCATCCCCACTAAGCAAATTGGTGAAACCTCACTTCCAGAGCAAGCTAAAAACCATAAAATATTTTGAAATAAAGCTATTTTAATTAAAAAATATGATATATTTTACTTATAAAAATTTGTGTCATTTTGAGAGTACTAGAAGGTCTTACCCTCAGACAACCATACCTACAATGTAAGGATCAAACAAAGCCACCTAACACGGCATTAGTTGTCAACAAATCTAGCCTGATTGAGGAGACTGCTCAAATTCATAATCTGCAGTTACTGTAGACTACTTTATTTTCGCTTGGAATTTATTTTCGCTGGAGGAATAATTCCGTGAAAACAAAATCCAGCGAATATACTTTTTTTCCTATATTTCACATTAAACTGATCAAAAATCAGTGAAAATAAATTCAATACAAAACGGCCAAAAAGCCTTTTCAGCGAAAATTAATTCCAGCGAAAATAAAGTATTCCACAGTAATTTCACAATCTCCACATTTGACAGTGTTTATACTGGTCATAAATGAAAGACTTACCGTCATTTTCTTTGGCATGATACATTATTTTTCTTGTTTTTCGTTTACTATTTCTAATAGTACTACCTCTTCCTGATCCGCGTAACCCTGGAGACCCTGAGAAGAAAATTGGATTATTGAAATGATCATTATGAATTTTAAAACTTGTCGATAATTACATTCATGGCAGCCACTGTGCAGGGGTAAAACTTTACAAAGGCATGACCAACCATTTTCATGGCTGAAATTAAAAATTAAAGTTGCCTGTACATTGGACTCGATGAAGAATAAAAGTGCCTGTCCTAATTGATGATATACCTATCCCTAGCAAAATAAGTGAAGACATATTATTTAAAACACAATGGCTCATCATTATTTCATTCAAAGATGCTGAAAGCAATTTTCTGAATATTAGCAACTTTGAACTACCGTTAAAGTCCTATTATAAACCGCGGTTTATATTACAATGTATCAATTTAAAAATTGGGATCAAAAGCTCAAGTTCGGGGTGCGGTTTCTATTACGTACATATTGCAATCACTAAATGGGCGTGGTCATTTTTTGTCCACAACACATGCACAAAACAAACAATACACCGTACAATCTCTTGAATAGGCGTCGGGGAAGAGTGAAAGGCCTTATTTTGGTTCTAGAATAGGCGTTACGAAATGTTGAAAAATTACAATAAAAAAAAATTCTACATGATACAAAAAATACTCAGTATTTTTAATGTAATATGCATTTATTTTTTTTAATTTTCTTGGTAACGAAAA